TGAATTATCTATGAAATCTCAACCAATCTTTTCAAGATGCAATGAATTCTTGAAATGCCCAGCAAAGCCCAAGAAAGCAAAGGGAGGAAGCCAGCCAAAGTGATGTCTGATTCTGAAAAAACAAGTGAGCCCTCAACATCAAAGAAAATGATGGATGATGAAAAATACTAATGAATTGCTGAAATTAATCAAGAAACATGGAGTTGAAACCATTCTTGGAGCTCTCAGTTGAGGAAGTTCTGAGAAAGATGATCAAACAAGCAAAAAGCTGTGCATTGAGGAGCAAGCCTAGCCAGCTGAAGGAGAAAAAGTCAAAGTTTAGATTTTCCCCAAATAGACTGCAAAAGTCCCAGCTTATGCTGAGACCATGGAAGTCTCCGAAGAAAATCGATTCCAGATGCTAGAATCTCAGCCTGCTGATGATGAGGAAGGTGTAGAAAAAAGAGATAGAGGGCGCTGCACCGCCCGTATGTTTAGCTAATTAAAAGTTTTCACCAGAGAGAGTTGAGAGGTTGATGAGAGTGTTTGAGAGAGGTATAAACTAGATATCCTGTAATCTGTATATAATACTTGTACACAGGCTTCTCTTCATTAAATAGATTTAGTTAAAGGAAAGTATCTTTACTTGATAATATAACGTATCAAGATCCACCGATGCCGAGTATGGAATATTGAGTAAGTTATTACATACAACAAGTTCTGAAGAAACTATCGAGAGAAATAGAAAAATTAGAGGTTCGGTTCATACCAGTGTAACAAAATTAATAAGGAAATTGGAAGAGGAATTGCAAAGAGAGAATCCGAACCTAGAAGTGTTGCAGGAATCGCTTTCAGTGTTAATCGAGAGAGAAACTGGCTTGTTAAAATATGATGAAGTTATTAATGCTCAAAGCACTGTTAAGGAATTAGACAGAGGTAGAACACTGTTTAGAATACAGCGAATCCATCATTAGATATAAATCAAAAGTCAAAAGATATATTCAAAATGTGGGTAAAACCGGAACAACTTCACAAGTTTCGGAAATCAAAACCAATTACAATACTAAATTACCTCACATTACTTTAGAAACTTTCAGCGGTGATTTATGTATATTTACTGAATTTTGGGCTCAGTATATGGCTGCCATTCACGAAAACAATATGCTTCAAGATGTTGAGAAATTTAACTATTTAAGATCTTTACTCACCGGTTCAGCAGCGAAAGCTATAAGCAGATTGCCATTAATAGGAGAAAACTATAAAAAGGCCACCAAAATCTTAACTGACAGATTTGGGAAAAAAGAAATCTTAGTTAGTGTGCATATGAATGTTCTCCTAGCTTTGGAGCCAGAATGTCGTTCAAGTGATGTATCCAGTTTAAGAAAACTATATGATGAAATAACTGTTCAAAAAAGAAGTTTAGAGACATTAGACATTAATTTTAATTCTTACGGCAATCTATTACTTCCTGTTTTATATAAGTGTATACTGCAAGATTTAGTGTTACAGTTTAGTAGGGAGCAAAAGATTGGCACAGAATAAAACAGTGTCAGATTTATTGTTGGTTCTAAAAAGAGAAGTAGAAGCGGGCAAAAAGTCATTAACTCTGGATTTTAATCAACAAACACTTTTGAAATCAAGTGAAAGAGATACCAACAACTATTTTAAAAGTGTTGCTCCAATTAAAAAGAAAATGGTATCAGCGGCGGCACTTAATACATCAGTCAAAAATTACATGTACGACTTTTGTCTTAAATCTCACCTCTCAAAAGACTGCGACTTAAGTATTTCAGAGAAACACAAAGCCTTATACGATCAATTTAAGTGCAAGCGCTGTTTAAAAAAAGGTCACAAAAACCATTTTGTAAGGCGAAATGGGTTAAATGTAATATTTGCAAATCTATGTCACATTTAGAGAGCCTGTGTGATGCAGATGGGCAAGAAAATAAATCCATAAAAAATGCTGCAAGCACAGCAAAAGAGACAAACGTTAGTTTACTGTTCCTCGAAACATTGAGTAAGCAAATTCCTAATGACGTGATTCATTATCAAACATTGAGAGGCCAACTCGGAAAAAATTCCACATTTACATTAGATTGTTATGTGACTCAGCTTCCGAAAGATCTTATGTTTGTCAGTCTATTTCTAGGAAAGCAAGTTTACCAACTACTGGTAGAGAAAGATTAAGAATTTATACATTTGCATCTTCAAATCCGCCAGTAATATAATTTAAAAGGAAAAGACTTTCTTTAAAAAATAAGATCGGGTTCATTCTAATCATCGAAGCACTTGAAGTAAAAATCATATGTTCCAATGCATTACCCAGGCCATCTGCAAAAATTATAAACAAGCTTCACTAAGAAGGATTTGACTTATCTGACAGCTGTGATAGTGAAGTGGCAGAGGTACAACTTTTAATTGGGGATGATTATTTGAACTGCATTTTAACGGGGAAAACACATCGTTTAACAGACTATTTAGTATTGCATGAAAGCATATTCGGTTGGACGTTCAGTGGTAGAATGGGGGGAGAGAGTAAGAAGTTAAGTTCAGGGTCAGACTCCACCAGTTTATTTATACACATCAATTGTTAAATAATAGACCTTTAACGTATGAGAACAATGAGCTGGGTGAACCTCGCCCGCTCACTCCTTCACAGTTTTTATTGTCAGAATGTGGTACTTATAACTTACTATTTAACTTTACCGAGTATTTCTTGGAAATTTTTAACAAGGTGTCAGACAAAGAGACTTTAACTAGGAGGAAGCTTTACCAATCTAGGCTCTTATAATTAACATGGCTCAAGTGGAAAGAGCAATATTTACTCTATCTTAGAAATGCACATAACTTTGCTAATCCTAAAACTGAGCAGAACCTTAAGATTGGAGACGTTGTGTTGGTAGAAGGACAAAAACAATCCAAACTACCTTGGGACATGGGTGTAATTGAAAACGTGATTATAGGTAGAGATGGACATGTTCGAGCGTGCCTCGTTCGCACACCCAAAGGACAATGCACAAGATCGATGCAGATGTTATATCCCTTCGAGATTTAATTTAGAACTTTTGATATTATTGAGTTTTTATTATTATATTATTAATTATTATGTTCATTTGTGGTTTTGATATATACTAGTATAGATTATTCTTTTATATTATTCATTTATATATGTCATACTATTCAGTATTAATCCATTATTAATTAATGTTATTATTGTTATGTAAGAAAGTTGGTGTACTCTTATTAGGGTGGGGAGTGATGTAGAAAAAAGAGATAGAGAGCGCTGCACCGCCCGTATGTTTAGCTAATTAAAAGTTTTCACCAGAGAGAGTTGAGAGGTTAATGAGAGTGTTTGAGAGGTATAAACTAGATATCCTGTAACCTGTATATAATACTTGTACATAGACTTCTCTTCATTAAATAGATTTAGTTAAAGGAAAGTGTCTTTACTTGATAATATAACACATCAAGATCCACCGATGCCGAGTATGGAATATTGAGCAAGTTATTACAGAAGAAGGAGCATTGACTGGTCAAATGCGCCCACCTATTGTATTTTCCCAAAACGTTGTGGATTGGCTGACCATGGATAAACCTTTTAGAAAGAATTGTACAGAAGAGCACGAAGCTCAAATGAAGGCAATTCAATTTTTCTGTAAATAAAAAACTTACAGGACTTTAGAAAAATGATGAAATCTTCACAGAACAAATCATTCCATTCCACTCATACCAACTTAAGTTGTAAGTAAAACACATTGAAAATAATCCAGAAAAACCTACCTGCTTGAGTCAAGGAAGAAGCAATTTTCCAGGACTTAGAACGTAGGAAATTCTGGTGCTGAATGTGAAACAGTTCATTAGAACATGCAAGAATAACTTCGAAAAATTCGGGAACTCATAAAATTTCCCAAACATGTCAACTAGAGAATACCCAGCAAGGAGCAATCAACCAAAAACTCTTTATAGTGAAAAACTAAAAAGAAAGCTCCAGTCTTGCCCCCCTGAAAGAAATATCAGAAGCAGTCACATGACTGAAAGATAAAAAGGTAAATTAATTCCTAAGCTTTATCATTCCCCATGTAGAGAAAATTAAAGCAACAAAGACAACAGTGAAAAAACTTTTAAGACAGGATTTCAAGCTGCAGTAATGCTTATGAAATTTAGAGAAAGTGCAGACTAAGGAATTTGACCATTCAGTGATGATGAAACTCCAACCCGACAGTACAAGGCTCAGAAGAAAAATTGCAGATAGAAAGTTTGAGGGTTCAATCCTCCTTTTTGCTCCCAAAATTTTCTGCCAAGCATGGAATTTTATCTCCATCTTTTCACAACTAGAAATCGCCTGACTTGGGTCATGTTGTATTCATGTCTTCAAGTGACAGATGTACAAAAGTATATCTTACTTTCTTACTACCTGCAATCAGCCAATGGCAACCTAAAAACAATTCGCAAAAACTCTCTGTAGTTGAGGCCAAATAGCTAAGGATGATCTACGGCCTATGTGTGTTCCACATTTAGAGGCTCTAGGTGCACCATTTTACTGCAATGCAAGGAATGTACAAACATACATAACAGAGTCTTCATTACTTAACAGTAGTAACATTCTTCCTTCATTATTCAACTGTTAAACATATGCTTAAAAATACAAAAAATTAGTTTATTATATGCTTTCTTTCTTTGCTTTTTATGTAAAAATTAGAATATATTTACTACAGATTTTTCTATAAAATAATAAAGTTCTCTCTATACATATTTAATATTCTCTGAGCAAATGTAAAAAAAAAAAAATAAATTCCTTTTATGAGCATTATGGAATTTTTTTAATTCCTGATTTATTTAGTAGAGATTTATAATTTTTCATTTATTGTATCCTCATAATCTGAACAGTGGCAGGATCCAGGCTGTGCAGATTTTTGGTCTACCGCTGAATTATGCAAAACATTTTTATTATACATAAAAGTACCTTGTATTTTATTTAAGATATTTTATACATAAAAAATCATCCCCCAAAATATACTTACATATCTTATGCATGTTAATCTCTTTGAAAATGTGTAATAGGCACCAGAAAAATAAAATGCAATGAGGTGAATTCTTTGGATAACTGAGATAATCTTGAAGATAGTAGGTATGAAGGCTAAGAGATTCTCTTCAAATGAATCATTACTTGATTTGGAAGTTCCTGTAGGTAATGAAGAAATTTCATTTTCCAGCCATTTTTGAAAACGCAGTAAGAAATAAGATCCAAATACCTGCAAACTTACATCTGCTGTTCTTCTCTAAAAAAGTAAATAAAATAAAATAAAAATATTGCATCACAATAAACTTTCATATACAATTCAGTTTCATCAGTTCTTTTATTATATGGTACTTCATCCTCATCCCATTACTCATACTAGTTAATTTGATCAAAACAAAGCTTTGTTCCTGAATGTTATTAAAAGTGAAATATAGATTTTAATGAGGTTGTTTCTGTATGGATACGTTCTTTATGCCTCATCTTAACAATAAAACTAACAATTAAGTCACTGCTTCTTTCTTTTCTAACAATAATTAATTCTATGCTTATCATCATAAATTGAAGTGTTAATCTTTTTTTTAAAGACTTAAAAAAAAAAAAAATACTCAAAATTATCTGATTTCATAATAAATGGGCAGACATATTCCAAATAAATTAAATTATTAATAGCAAATTTAATTTCCTCAATTCTATTCTTATGTGCCTCCTTTTATGCTCTAACAAATTTTAGAGAAAAATGATAAAAATTAATTAAGAAACATGGGAAAACAGTATTTTTTAAAATGCAAAAGAAAATTAAAAGAAACATTCAATGCAATTGATTCGTAGCTTAACTAACTTTTATTTTTAGAAAAATAACTACAAAAACCTAACCTTTTTCTTGCGAAGACAGTAAATAATATGATTTTATGCAAATTTTATGCAATTTGAGTTAAATTAGACTGTGATCTACTTCGTATCATGAGGTCCCCCCCCCCAATATGAAGTGTTAATGTAAATTAGAATCTACTTGGAAAACATTCTTTAAAACTTGAACCTGACAATCTAAAGCCAGAACACCATCAATTCACTTATTAGGTCAATAAAATTATCAGAAGGAGAAATCATGAGAAAAATAACTTCATAATTGCTAGCGAAAAGAAAAGAAAGAAGACCCTTTAGACAATAATGAAATATAAATAAATTAAAATTGAATGTTATTAATATAAGAATTCAGTTTTAACAAGACAGGAAATAGTTGAAACAAATTATGTAGTTTGAAAATTATTGGAACCAAAACAAACTGATGCAGAATAAATCTTATTATACACTGATATGATGACACTAATCTGAACAAAGCATACATGCACAAAATGCAAAATTAACTCAAACTAATACAAATGAAGAACACAATAGCCATAAAATTTTAACAATACCAGTCTTGATGGAATTGATTTCAGACTTGCATCAACTTGAATAATGTTGGCATACTCTTCCCCAAGTGTTTGAAAACCTTAAGAAAAATACAAACCTATTATTCTAAAACATTTGCCATACACAGTCAAAAGTCTTTAATCCAGACTCGTCGGGACTTCGGCGATTCCGGATTATCGGTTTCTCTGGATTATAGATCATCAGTTTAAATCTGGTAAGATGGCATGCAGAAATTATAAAATTAAAAATATGAAACCGTAATTTATGAAATAAAGAGCAATTATGATTTAAAGGGTGTCAAAATTTACAAAAAAAAAAGGGTAATATTTATTTGTTTACTAAGCATTTCTTTCAACACGCGGTGGTCGAAATTAGAAAATTACAACCAGAAAACTGATGTGTATTCGTGATATTTATAATGACGAGGAATTTGATTTAAATCATCAAAGACAAAGTACATCGAGATGAAATACTACATTTAGTAAGGAATTATAAGCCGAATAAAATAAAAACATCTGCCCTGAAGATAAGGATAGTGCTGACAGATCAACTTCCAGTTCACTGCGTGCCGTGACGTCCCCCCCCGCAGAGCAGCGTGAAATTAATAAACAAATTTTGGAATGATTAGAGAAACAAAGGATATGCCTTTATCCATTTTTTGCAGCAATTCCACTTTTCGTTTGATGGACATCGAAACATGCTTTCGCTTTGTAGATCCTTTGGCAGCTCCAGAATCGAAAATTCTTTTTGACATAATCGAAAGTTCAAGCTTACTTTTATAAAATTTCTCCAACAGTCTGCAAAAAATAATAAGCCGGATCCAATTAAAAGATTAAGGGGTTACATGGGTTTCACAAGTTCAAAAAAATCTTTTTTTTTTTTGTTTGTTTTTTTTTGTTTATTAAAATCTACAACATCTCTCGAATATTGTCCGAACATTTCAAGTTGATCCGAGTAATAGTTTCAGAGATACAGCCTTTTGAAGTGGCGCACTCAAGGCTACCTGGGCTCCGCTTGCCGCAGGTATAAAAGTGCAGCCGCTTGCCTATCATTAATCATTTGTCCTTTATGGCTACTTTTCTCTTTTTCTAAGGGCAACTAGTTGAAATACTTCATTTGGTGATCACTTGTTGAACCACAAGGTTTATTTTGAGGTTATAAGTATCCAAAGTAAATTATACGTAAAAAATGCCCAAAGTTTTAAGATCTCAATTAGTGGACGGTGCTCGTAAGAAAGATCGACCCAAGAAACGGAGACAGTCGTTCAATCCTAAAAATCCTGAGGAGCAAAACTTTAAATGCGTTTTTCTCAAAACTATGTTTTTAAAGTTCGTTGTCAAGATTTCTCGAAGACTACTCCACCAATCTCGATGAAATTTTAAACAGGTCTTCGATATACAATTTACAAGAACTTGGATGAAGAATTTTTTTCAAGATACAATTTACAAGGACTTGGACGAAGGATTTTTTTTTTTTTCAAAATGCCACGAAATTTTTATCGAATTTCGCATTTTTATGTAAAAACCGCTGTCAAACATTTAATTTTCATTTTTTTCCCCCTTCGTCCAATTTCTAGTTTGAAGCCTTAACTAAAACACGGATTTTTTTTTTTTTTTTCACTTCAGATGATCCTGCTTGGAGTTCTGCTGTCAACGCGAATGCACTTTTTTTCCGAGGGCTCGCCGGGAATGACGTCACAATGGCGGAGTTTTTAATATTTTTTCAAAAATTTCAGAAATTGTTTATTAAATATGTACCTTTAAGATAATAAAAAAAATGAATTAAATATTTCATTTATTATATGAAAACAAAATCTTGAAAATACGCCGTTTTTACTCGGATGAAACCCATGTAACCCCTTAAGGAACAAAGCAATCTGCAACATTAATTGAAATAGATAATTAGATTGTTTTAGTTTAGCTTATACCATCCGTTATACATTAAACGTGCATGCGTAAAATTATCATCCACATGCGTAAATGCATATGCGTAAAAGCATAATGGCGTTTACGCATGTGCAGAAAGTTTGTAGCTTTGAGGTCCAAATTATAGATCATTCCGGATTATGGACGTTTGGATTAAAGACTTATGACTGTATAATCAAAACACTGTGTACAATAGATGGATAGAAACCACAATTAGCTGGGTATTCATGAATTTATTAAGACACATATTTTCCCATCACTATGGGGGATGACAAGCACCCCATAAATTTATATACACTTATTACATTTCAGGACAATAGATTACACAGTGGAACAATGACACATGCTAGCAGGACAAGGGCAAGTAGTGAAAGTGAATGCATTTCAGCAAAGGGTTATATAAAAGAGCCAAATTCTTTGTTTAAGTCATGAATAGTAGTTGGACTAGATCTTATGACAATGCAGATCTCATAATGCAGTTAGTTTTTTAATTGATATTTTTTATCTTACATATATATATATATATATGTTTAAATAAAATACATTATTAGGCAGCAGGCTATTTTGCATTTAATATTAAAGTAAAATAATATTTAAAAATCTTAAATAAAACTGTTGGTGTAGCTCTGACAACAGCCTTCAGTTAAGAATGACAATGCATAAAAAATTCAAAACAGCATTAGAACACATTCTACTTGAAGCGATCTTCTATGGGGCACGAAGTTTTGACAGCCGAAACACAGCATGAACTTGATTCTAATCTCGGCATACAGTGGAAGTTGGAGTTAGTTGATAATATTCAGCCCTTGATTCGATAATTAACTTGTTGCAATCGTTTGTAAGGTTGAGACCTTGTGAACCAAAGATGTGCATTTGAGTGTTTGCCATCAAAGTCTGAGCTCGAACACCAATTTTTCGGTTTTATTCGTTTTATGTACTCTGAGTTTTTTACTAAACTGATTGCACAACTTTTGGTCTTGTTCATTCGCTCTCCCAACACTGTCGTAAGTTCAGGTTGGAATTCTGATATTCCTCTTTCTGCCTCTCAGAGTGGAATGTTCTATGGTAATTATGGCTCATCTGGATGAGTACTATCATCTGTCTTAATTTGTAAAAACAATTTATAATCACCCTGTATATACATACATTTTACTTATATATTACATTATATATAGAAAAATATAATTTTCAGATTATAATTAGATGCTTTCAGATTATACACAACCCCCATCAAAAAGTCGTGAAATCACTGCCTACTTTGGACAGCATTCACAAACTCAATGGCAACTAATATTTTGACAAGTTAATGCACAAAAGACAGTCATTTTCAAAATGACAATGTACTAAGAATTCTGTACAAGAGCAATCGATCAATAAAATTTAAAAAAAAGTATGAAAATGCTTTTTTTGAAAAATCCTTGTATCTTTTGTTGTTTTCTCCCAAAACACCTGTTTTTCTGTTCTCGTTTAAGAAAAACACCAGAGAATTGCACAAAGTTGGAATTGGTGCAATTCAGCACTGCATACTTGCCAAAAAAGTATGTGGTCTTTTCAGTTGGGGGGTGAATAATGAGAAAGTACCTATAATTATATCTGCAAAAAAAGTTTTAAAAAAAAATGAGGAAAAAAGGGGAGAAAAAAGAAAATTTATGTTAAATTTTAAACTTTCTATAGGAATATGGACACTGAAGAGCCACACCATTATGACCACATACTTGATAACGCATTGCACTACCTTTGGCCTGCAAAACAGATGCAATTCACCTTGGAATGAATACCACAAGTTCTTAGATGACTGGAGACATGTTGTACCAACCGTCTAAGCAACAGTCACACAAAGTTGAGATATTCTATCATGGCGGTGTTTGAGCTCTGAGCTGATGCTCCATGACATCCCAAATATGCTGTATCGGGTTAAGATCTGCCAAGTTAGGTGGCCAGGACATTAACTGGAATTCATCCTTATGTTCCTCAAATCACTTCAATAAAATTTGAGAATTGTGACATGAGGCGTTGTCCTTCTTGAAGATTCCATTTCCAGTTGAGAAGACACATGCCATGTAAGGGTGCAACTAATCCACAATTATGTTCAGATAGTCTGCTGCTTTCATGGTCTGTTTTACCACAATTAAAGGTCCTAGAGTCACTCATGAGAATGTCCCCCAAAGCATAATACAGTCAAAAGTCATTAATTCGGACACCCATAATCCGGAATGATCTATAATCCGGACATCAAAGCTAAAAACTTTCTGCGCATGCGTCGCGTTCAAGCATGCGCATAGGCGTTTACACGTGCACGTAAGACCTTTACGGCTGCGAATATACATGTGCGCATGTGCATAATACATTTACGCATGTGCGTTTAATGTATAACGGATGGTATAAGCTAAAATTATCTAATTATCTATTTAAAGTTGCAGATTGCGTTGTTCTTTAATCTTCGAATTGGATCCGGCTTATTATTTTTTGCAGACTGTTAGAGAAATTATATAAAAGTAAGCTTGAACTTTCGATTGTGTCAAATAGAATTTCCGATATGTATTTACTAATATGTAAAGGATCTACAAAGCGAAAGTATGTTTCGAAGTCCATTAAACAGAAAGCGGAATTGCTGCAAAAAATGGATAAAGGCATATCCTTTGATTATCTAATCATTCCGAAATATGTTTATCAATTTCACGCTGCTCTGCGGGGGAAGGGAAACGACACGGTGCGCAATGAATTGGAAGTTGATCTATCAGCACTATCTTTATCTTCAGGGCAGATGTTTTTATTTTATTTGGCTTATAATTCTTTACTAAATGTAGTATTTCATCTCGATGTACTCGGTCTTTGATATGATTTAAATCAAGTTCCTCATCATTATAATTCGCTTCTGATAGTGAAGAAAGTGACTCAGAGGTTATTGAAAACGAAAAAATTTCGATTGACAAATTAGTCGGTATTCTCGACACAGCAATTATAGGACTTGAACAGCGGAACTTTGTAACTAAACAAAAAATTATGTCTATGTCTGTTTAATAGAATTAAAGAGAAAGTATTATCACATGAAACGAAGCAAATTAAACAATTTACATTGAAAGAAATGTTTAATAAAGTAAACAAATAAATATTTAGCTTTTTCCTTTTGTAAATTTTGATACCCTTTAGATCA